TATTTTTCATGGAATTTATCTCTAAAAAGGAATATAATTCCATAAATATATATATATATATATATTAATAATTATGTATATAATTAAATAGAGGTAGATAAAAATAGATTGATTTTATAGTATCTTCTAAAAAAGCTTTATAGATGCTATTTTGACTTTATAAGTATTTATAATTTATTAATAGGCTAGAAACTTGATCAACAAGTTAGCCATGTAATACACGTGTTAGTAGCTTGTGGAATAAGCTAACTTTGTGATATACATGTAGATAACTTAACTTGCAAGTTAAGACATGTATCTAGCAAAGTCAACACGTGTTGGAGGTCCTATAGAATATTGCCACATAACTCCTAGTAAGAAAGTATATGTGGAGACAAGAGTAAAGCCTTCTTCACTCTTTTCAATGTTTTTTTGTGATAATATAACTATATAGTAAAAAGTAAAAATGTGGATGTTATTATAGAAGAGCTTAGCAAAAAGATGTAGTAGAAATAAGAATAAAAGATAGAAAGACAATAAAAGATTTAATCTTAATGTTGCTTCTTTATAGGAAGAATCTCTATTTACTTTATAAGGTTATATATGGGCCAAATCAATGTAAAAGTGGTAAGAAATTGACATGGGCATATTAAAAAAAGAGTTGAAAATAAGTTAAAGTAAAAATTACCTCAAATTATCAAAAATTGATACCTTAAGAAGATTAATAATTAACTTGGGTTGAAATCAAACCTTAAGGCATAAAACCATGCTCACATGGTGACTTTGGAATTTTTTGGTAGATCAAAGAAAGAAATATGAGAGTAGACTTGAAGAGAGATTTTTGGACATATGTTTTATATTAATTGAAACAATAATAAGCTTTTGAAGGATTTCCAAAGTTAGAGATGTTCTCAATTGGTTTAGATTTTGAAAAATAAAAATATATTTATAAATTTGAAGGTTTCTTGAGTTTTTTCATATGTATATGGATGAATTTTTGGAAATTTGTTGGTGTGTTAGTTATAAATGTGTATGCAAATTTTGAAGTCAATCAAATAATTAGATCAAAGTATGTGAAGGTTTTTATGAGTTGAGGTCTCAAAAATTAGAGTTTGAAGGTCAATGAGTGTTTCAAAGATCTTTAGCAATTTATCAATTAGATTGAAGTAAAAACATTTATAGATATTAGACTTAATTTCTAATATTTAGGTGAAATTTGAGAGTAATTCAATTATTTCAAGAAAGAGATATTGGTGTTGGAATTTTAGAATTTAAGTTGGAGTAAGAAGCCACCTAACACCGGATTAGATTATCTTACATTTCTTTCAATTAGTTACTGAAATCAGTTTCATCTTTTTTATACTTATTTTTAACTAAGATATTAAGAAGTATGCAAATTTTGAATTGATATCAATGATTCAACTATTAGTTGTTGAAGTTCTAATTTGCTATAGGATTTGATTTAGGATTTATCTATAATTTAGTTAGGGCTTAGGATTTGATCTAAAGTTTGGTTAGGATTAAAATTTTCTTGAAATTTGATTTAAAACTTGACTAAAAATTTATTAGGTTTTTATTAAGATTTGTCAAAGATTAAGGATTTTACTAAGAATTCACTAGGATTTAACATATGATTTGGTTAAGATTTAATTAGGATTTTAATTAGAATTTGATCTAAGATTTAATTAAGATTAAATTAAGATTTTAATTAAGATTATATTATGATTTTTATTTTTAGTATTTCTTTAGGATTCTTTGTTGTTTCTTTAAAAGTTTTTATTTCTAATATTTTTTAAGATTATAGTTATTTCTTTAAAGTTTTATTTTTATATTTCATTAAGTTTTTTTTGGGAGATTAGTTTGGAACTTTTTTGTGTTTCTTTTATAACTTCTTTTGAATTTATTTTTGATTGATCAAAGTTTGATCAGGATTATTAAGGTCTATTTGAGGTTATTTAAGATTCTATTAAACTTGATAGAATTGTTCTTGCAATTCTACTTATCTTGTACAGCTAGGTGCCTAATGCATTCTTAAGTAAAAACACATGTAATACAATAATACCTTTTTAGTCTTTAGACTTATTTCAAGACTTTTTAATCTTCTTATCTTTGACAATAGCCATTTTGATTCAATATATTACCATCTTTGAATGATTTTCCAGTCTTTTTGAATAACAAAAAAATATATTATGATTTTTTTTTTTTAAATTCATATCCTTGATATTTATATGTGAATTAATTAATTGAATTACTTATTGATTATATCTACCTAAGTTTATGAAGATCCATCTTATATTTCATATGTCTCTTCTTGAGCCATATAAGACAATGAATATTTTAAGACAAAGATAAATGCTACCTCCTCTTATAGAAGTAGATAATAATTAAGAATTTAATATTGAAGAAGTCTTAGACTAAAGGAAACATTGAAATAGATTGGAATATCTTGTTTATTAGCACAAATAAGATATTAAAAAATGAACATCAGATCCATCAAAGAATCTTGCAAATATAACAAAGAAGATCAAAGTATTTCATCAACAACAACCATCAAAATTAAGATGAAGAATCAAACAAATCTTTGTTATAAAAAAAATAATTTTTAATGAACATTACATTCTATCTTATATCTTTCATTGTGATTTTTTTAAATTATCTTATATTTTTTAAATGTAATAAAGATAAAGATCTTTAAGAATGACATGTTTTTCTTGAAATAAATGGTAAGATACAATGTATTTGATAACACAACTTTAGAAGAGACTCCCAATGATGATTTTATTAGAGGTAGGAACAATTCCTAATGGTATTACAAATATTTTATTTGAAAGATGTTACAAAGGCATCAATAATGATAAAATAATAGGGTGATCTTTCTATCCTTGAATAGGATATTATTGATGGCTAAGAGAACCTATCAACCACCTTCTAAGGGAATAAAGGTCAAAGTATGTAGCAAATATAATTTGACATATCTTAGATTTCATCAATATGTGATTGCAATTCCTTCTAGAACTTGTCCTTAGAATAGAAGATAATATCATGAACATACATATTTATTCTTATAATTATCTGAATAATATATATAAGTAGAAATAGTTAAAAATAAATCATTTTAATAATATCATTTGAAAAGCTTCATAGATGTGATTTCATCTTTATACACGTCTAAAAGTGATTGATATGATAAATAGTTAGCCAACAAGTTAGCCACGTGTCACATATATTGATAGCTTGTAATATAAGCTAGCCATGTAGTATTCATATAAGAAACTTGCTTTATAAGTTAAAACACGTATCAGAGATCCTATAGAACATTGCAATGTAGTTCTTACTTAAATAGTATATATTGAGGCAAGAACAAAGAATTCTTCATTCTTATCAAGGGTTTATAGTTTCTTTTTTAATATACATACTTTCTTATTTCTATTTTGTTATCTTTCTGTAAAAAAAGTCTCTCTTATTTATTTGCCTTCTTTGGATGCTTGTCCTTGATAACAATGATATTTAATTTAACTAATTTTATACAAATATCAATATATCTAGATAATTAAAGTAACTTAAAATATATATAGATTCTTTTGTTGAATCTAAAAGTAATCCATGTTGTAACACTATATTCTTTTTTAAATTATATGATATTATTATTTTTAAACTAAAATGATTTTATTATTAAAATCTAATAAAAATTTTGAATTCTTTTGAAAAAAAAGTTATGTAATTCTTAGACAATCTTTAAAATAACCATTTGTTGATAATATGTAATACAATCTTTAAAAAATCTATTATTATTCTTCTATTTCTATTCTTCTTTTTATAAACATTAGTGCATTTCTTCTCACATAATGCTAATATTTGAAAAAAAAAAACTATTTTGAACTAATTTGGATACAAATTTTTAATTTCTAATCTTTTTTGCTTTTAAGAAATTTTTTCACATAAAAAAATGCCATATTATATATTCTTAATATATTTATTTTTGTAATATGATTTCTTTTGTTATCTTAATAAGTTATATCAAATATTAATTAAGTTAAATTAGAGTGGTTTAATTTAAATAAAATATAATAATGCTAACATAGCTTATTAAAAAAATTATCTCAATATGCACTATTTCCTTGTCTACCTTCATATCCTCTAGATTTATGTGTAATAAAATGCTTATCTAGTTTTGTATAAATTCATTGTCTAGTTTTAATAAGAAATCTAGTTAGATGTTGTTTATATGGTCATCTAATTACATTGAATATTTTGATAAGTGATATATCTTCATATAATGTTATGTGCTCTTTATAAATACCATAATATTAATATATTACCATATGACCTAACTTGTTTGGCATTAACTCATGTCAATAGAACTTGTTTATTTTTTATTTTTAAAAAATTATAAAATTTAAATAATTTTCTTGTATTATTTCTAAATAAACCTATTTACATGCAACATTCTAAGAATTAACACAATTTGAAAATATAAGTTTTGTTACTATCATTAAAATATAAAATTATTCTTAATCATAAAATTAAGAATACAATATATGTCTAAAATAAATAAATAATAATAAGAATATAAAAATATAATATTTTAGTTATCTAATGAAACTTTAGAAATTTAATAAGATTATGTTATAAAAATCAGTTGTTAAATTCTAAATTAGAATCAAGTATAAAAAAGAGTTCAAGATTTAAAGAAGAATTTGGATTTAGGATTAAAATAACAGAAATTTAAAATATTAAATTTGTGAATAAAATTATGATATCAACAAGCTCAAAGGGAATATTAAACTAAATGTAATTAACACATCTACAAGAAGACAAGTTCATCGACAATGTTTTCAAAACTCAATTATCAGCCAACAACACGTCACTAGTATTAAACAATCTATTATTGAGTGTAAAAGAGAAATTTGTTTAATATAATGAAATGATATTTTATTTAATGTTTGCAAAGAACACGGTACGTCTTGCAGTTCAAATGACTTGCAGTTGTGAACAATCGAATATCATTGTACACTAGTGTATCAATAGCGATGGAACTAATTGTCAAAATTTCGATAAAAATTTTAACTTAACACATGACTTTTGTATGGTACAAATCCAACCCTGTGTGGGACATTAACATGCTGAATCGTTGACTAAACTACCAACAGTCGGCGGCGGCGGCGGCGGCTAGTGAAATGCAAAATCATTTCCTATCTGTAATCATTTTCTGTCTAAAATCACTCTGTCTAAAATCTACACAAAAATTTGCACCATTCTGTTGACTCATTGAAGGACGGCAATCTTATGCACAAGCGAGTCTCTTCACGAACTACACACTAAAAGTGCCATCTTCAGAGTAGAGTTCGGCTGCAAAATTGTGGCAGCAATTGCTGTTGTTGTGGCAAGAATGCTCAGGATCTACCTGATGAATCAGTGCTCAACGCGAGCGTGGATTTGTCTCCAGGACAGTGGTGTACACAAACTGCGCGAGCTCGAAATGAGTTGGTGTGGCGAGGAGAGACGTTGCAGGAATGGTGAGAGTCTGGACAATGGAGCATGGTGTCTTGAGTTTTATGGACAACTTGCGGTGGATGCGTGCTCAGCTGGTTCTCTACTGTTTGCTTCTCGTCGCTTAATCACTCGCAAATGTGGTTCTCCATGTCGATGCTTATGATGATCCCACTTGCGAAACTCTCACTTGATTGACCTACCGAGCTGCTGTATAAAGCTATAGTACATTGTTATGCATTGGCGTTGCCGTTTCTCTGTGTTACCGTGTTGTTGAAGTACATCGAAGTGGTAGTGGTTTGACGCCGAAGGTAATGTCACAGTTCGGAGGTCATCGTTCTTCCAGTGGTCGGATGGCGCCGCTGTCATCACGCAGACTCTCAGAATGACTTGACATAAATCCCAACCCTTTGTTGTTGCGTCTGGGCGAAGAGGTGAGCATGGTGGGAGGATGGACAAGGTGTGCAGGTTCGGGCTGAGGCAGAGGATCCTCACGCGGGAAGATGATGTTGCTGTCTGAAGGGACCACTGCGATGAAGTCTGAGATTATGATAGGACTCGATCCCCTGGAGAGAAGATCTGGCTCATCGAGAAACTGTCTCCGCTTCCGAACGTACCGCCTTTCGTCGACCTCACGAGACTTTGCAATTGGAGGAGAACCCTGAACCGGATTGGTAGTAGCAAATGCTTGCTCTAATTCGGAGTGACCGGCGTTGGGATGCCGAGGAAAACTTGCCTTCGCTAGTTCTCTCAAAGTCCTCAATTCTTCACTCTCGATTCCCCTCTGTGATCTTCCTTGTGATTGTCTTCCTTGTAAGATGTTCATCCAGTGACTCCTGCTTGTCTGCCTCTCGGATCTCTGCGACGCTTCAGCTTGAATCTCCTCCGATTCGTTCTGTGGGCCGCTGTCCGCGTTTATAGCCATGATTTGTGCAACGGATCCTGGATTAGAAGAAACAGATTCTGGAGTTGGAAGAGGAAGCGGTGTAGCAAGTGGGTGTGGTCTGCTTTTGGAAGACACAGATTGCGGTGATTCTACATGAGAACTCCCTGCGGATATCCGGCAATTTTGAGACTCTGCCACCGCAGTTACTGGTAATGGCGCTTGATTACCTGGAAACTTTCCCCGCATGCGGTGTGGAGTGAACGGGAGAATCAATCCCCCTGCAACAAGTGTATCTTCCACGTTAATGCATATCCTTGTCACTTGGAAATCTAACCCAAACGAAAATGGATGTGACAACGATGATTCAACTAATGAGAGCTGCAATAATCGAGAGGCTCACTTGCAAAAACTTTTAGTCCGTCCTTGAGAGAAGGTTCTTGAGAAGTTGAGAGGCGCATTAGGTGCTCCACAAGCGCATACCATTCGTTGACTAGCTGCGTCACGAAGCTGAAGACGAGCAACACGAGCATAAAAACTCCCATACTAAAATTCAAATCTGTGGGTTGTTTCCTCGCGAGCAGAACCATGCCCGCTACAAAAACCCCCAGTTCGCACAGAAGAGCAATCGTCTCCACCATTTGCACCCCTCGTCTCCTGAACGGCTTGATCACCACGAGGTATACAAACTGAAAGGCAGTTATGCCCACGATTACACCTACTTGACTCCATGAGTGATCTGACAGAGGATACAATCCGAACAACAGACCCAGAGTGATTCTTCTGGACAGATCCACTAGAATGTAGGCTGCTCGTGCATCTCCGAGTACACGGGGAGCGTCAGAAACCTCCACAGTATCGTTAGACCCATCGTTGGAGTCTGGACTCTTCATCGTACTGCCGGCTCGTTTGATGGTTAGTCTCAGGTTTTGAGCCCTTTTGTGTACCAGAATTGTCGGAGGACCTTTGAAATCCTCAAAAATCAAGCCATAGCGAGAGCGGAAAGTGGATGCAAGATGATTGTTTCTGACCCACTTCCCTGGGAAGCCTGCACCAGCGACAAGGTTGACAAGCCCATGAGGCTTCTGCGGTTGAACGTATCCGTGGCTTTGAACCTCGTAGCGAAACTCTTCGTACTGGACCAGCCTCCCCATGAAGATGCCGTAGATGAGAAAAACTAAGACAGCAATGAGGAAGGCTACTGGGACTGAGAGCAGTAATCCTCCGACTGCAATGCTAACACGTGAGCCATGTCTGATAATGAAGGCAGACGCTTGGCTTAATCCTGGTATGGCAAGAATTAAGAGGTAAAGTTCGAAGCGAGGAATGATAAGGGCTCCTTTGATTAGCGCCCTTGTCCGCCACCGAAGAAAGAGGACGATCAAGATATGTAACAGGATCGCGCCTCCTCCCACAACACCTATCCAAAACATATTTCTCTGAAACTCTTGCCATCTGCAAAAACCAATAGCACAATTACTCGATGCTGCATCGCCACATTGAGCCAGAGGACATTTCCAAACAAAATCACCCAATGAAAAAATTGCATTCATGAGTTGAGACTGAACTGTACCCGTTGTACTTGTTGCTGATGAGCACACTCTCCAGAGCTCCTTTGTTGGGAGTGTGGCGCTGCTAGAGAAAAGACGAACAAAAAATCAGAGTGGGCTCAGGATACTTTGCGAATTCATTTTTTTCGAGTACTAGAACAATTTGAGAAATATGCAGAAATATGGTCGTCTACATTCAGCCAGAGATTAAAAAAAAAGGCAGGTGTAAAAGATTTACCAGGAAGTAGAGCTCGTAATCACTAGCCTCCATTGCTGGGCCATCCAAGGTACTGTTAGCTCCCAATTCACGACCTCTGTGCATATTGTGCTGTAGATTGCCCAGTCTTTCATTAATTTCTAGTAATCTTCGACGACCACTGATCACATTTTGCAGGATGGTGGAAGTGGTGGTCTGGTTACTGGTTCCTGTGTTGAGCACATCTCTTCTTTGCCAAGGAGTGTCCATGTGAGGAATCAACCATCGAAGACCAACTGTCACCTCTAGGTATTCGGCTGGCAGGCTCACTGCCAGCCACCCTGACAGAGCAAGGATTTGAAGATGGCCTAGTAATCCCTGCAGACGACGAAGAAGAAAAGATCGATGTGAAAACCTAAGAAACCTGGTTCGGCAAAACCAACCTCGAAAATCCACGTTATGTTGGTGTTTTGTGTCGCACACGTACCAGCAGATTTCTGCGCGGGTCATCAATCTTTTGAGCCGAGACAGCACCTACAGCTTCTAGAGTTGCGGATGAGATGGAGATCGCCACGGACACCATGGCCGTCGACGACAGTCCCACCGTTATCAAGGAGGAGATCAATACCGAGACTAAAGGTGTTGTATCTGCACGTTACAGAGCCATGATCCTAGCTTAGTAAGAAATCCTGTCCTTTCATTTTGCTCAATACACCATTTTGCAGTGATTGCTGTCAAACAGGCAAAAATCCAAATGGGTTCAAAGGAAGATAGGTGTACAATGTCGAACTTGTGAGTTGGGCGAAGCCAGATTGTAGTTTCCAGCAACGTCCACAGTCTGATTCTCAGGGACAGAGACCGTCACAAGCTCGTTGTCTATCGCAGTTACTTCCAAGATGTAGGTGCTCTTATCGATCTCCTTGAAGCTCCTTAGATTTCCTCCTGATATCGCCACATCGGAAGAATTGAATCTGAAAACAGGCTCTGTAAATTGAACAACAAAGGGGAGAACAGTATCCTTTGTCTTCGTACGAAAAGTGGTACTGATCTGAACTTGTGGTCTCCCAGTATCTGTCATGGACACCACAAACAAAAACAAAAAAAAAAACACATCAGCCTCGAGGGTTCTGTTCCGAACCAGACCTGAAACAGGCTTTTGCCTGTGTGCTTAGGATTTAACATGTCATCGAAACCGCACTTCGGGATTCGATAGGTTCCACATAGACGCAACAAGTGAATCTGTCGAGGAGCTAAGGTCTGAACATACAATCCACGTTAGTTTCTGAAACGACTCAATCCTGAAAGGAATACTCACCATAGAAAAATGTTGTACTGATGTTTGTTGGCAAAGGCGTGCCATATCGGTTGGTAACTGTGTTTCCTGCCAAAGCGATTGAGACCAAGGAATCATTGGTAACATTCCTGAGCTGCAGACAAGAACCCAGAAATTCATTAGTCAAGAGCATTGTTCTCCTTCAAATCCCGACGAAAAACCTCATGGAGGATAAAACAAAGCAAGGGAGCATGGATTCTAATGATGCATCAACTGGTGAAGCTTACTGCGTAGCCGAAGTGACGATTCCCGTTGCTCTTCCGCGCTATCGGCGTGAGGATCCCGTTGCTGACACTCAAAGCACGCCGCAGCTCCACAGCTGAGCTTGTGATGGGCTCGTCAAAGTCCAAGTAAACTCTTAAATCCGAGGCGTTGTTGGTTGCTTCAACCGTCCTTGCCTGATTACTGATAATTACTTTAGAGCTCGGAACCGAGGTCCACAAGTGCACACTGGGTACCCTTCGATCTACAATTCGCACCACCTCAGGTATTAGCTTCGCATGATGCATACAGCGCCGAGTATTAATCCTAGAGCTTTTCGCAATTTGCAACTGCGGAAAACGGGAAGATCGTTACCGAAGCGAATTATTGAAGAAGACACGTTCGTTCGTCGGAGTACATTCCCCGCCGCATCGGTGCAGGAGTTTCTGCCAATCACGGCCTGAATTTTGCCGCTCCGAATAGTTGTGGGAAGAGCAACTACAACGGAATACTTTCGCCCCTTCTCAATTTCCTTCAGAGTGGAGGGGATGACGGCCCCCCCTCCATGAATCCATAGCTGAGCAATTCAACAAACACAATGTGAGATCAATGAGACTGTTTACAGTGGCTTAAAAGAGTTGAAGCTCTGCGCGGGAGGTGGGATCTTGTTGTGCAACTTACATCGCAGAAGCTCTCATTTGAACAGACGAATCCACAGGCTTCGCTGAAGATAATGCTCACCGTCACGTTCAGTGCGTTGGTGAAAGCTTGCACTCCAGTGACGGCAGCCGTTGGAGCAACAGTGTCTGCAAACAGGGACCAGTACCATCTATCAAATTTGTGTGACTATCTGCACAAATCTAGTCCGTAGCCAGCGGAAGAAGACGATTGATGGCTCTTGCTGTTGGATAGAAGCGCCGATAACCATAATTCCTTCTGGTGTGTAGGTTGGAATAAAATCTAATTTCAATCCTTACCAATTGCCCAACGGAATTGTGATGCTGCGGAGGCTCCACTCGAAGTATTTACGAATACAGAGAAATTGTGGACACCGTCGGTGAGGTTACTGAAAGAAGCACGCAAATCGACACAGTCTTGTGAAGGAAACTGATCTAGCTGCACAATGGCCGGCGCCACAAAAAACTGATAACCCAGTTGCAACAAGAGCTGAAACTAGTTGATGCAGAGCGCGAAATCAAAAACCAAACTAAAATCAAAATTCAGTAGCAAAGTTCTTCCAGCAGCTTAACCAGACAATCAAGCAAACCCACCTGACATCTGAAAGAGCATTGCTGTGCGGCGCAAGGATAGGATCCATTGCTGTCCACGACGTTGAACGCGAACACAGCATTTTCCGTCGCCGTAATATTAACAGGAGTTTCTATGAATTCAATCTGGAGAGCAGTTTGTCCTTGAGTAGAAACGGGACTGAGCAGAAAGATCAACGCAACGACACAGCACCAGTACACACGGAGGACCTTAGAGGCGCTCATCCCGCGAGGACTTCTCCAATGATTCTTGAGCTTGTATGCCACAGAATTCCTAGAGTATCAACTTCGAATGCAGTCACGAGGGGGAACTGAGGGGTTACATGGGAAAGAACTATGTCTGGAACCAGTGCGAGCATGCTGATGAACAAGAAATCTAGAGTCACGACTGAGGCCAGCTCTTGCACATTCAGATTGCAACAAAATTTCAACAAAAATCTTCACTCACCCCCCTAAATTCCGAATTAGCTATCTCAGCAGAGCCAGCGCGGGCCCTTCCGAAGAGCGTCTTTTTCTCCCCTACCCGTCTAAATCCCAAGCTCGTCTTGTTGTGATTGATTTCGGAGACACGCGTTTCAAAAACCTCTGCAAGTTTCTACAATCTTTGCCTCTCGTATCCCACGACTACTTTTGTGATTGCTACACGAAAAGGAATACTAAATTGCGTCGTTGTGCAATCGATTGCGCAGAATTAATGTTCCTGTGCTACTTCACTGGATCTGAGCATGATCACTTGCGAATCGGACACCGGTGCTCAATCCTGTTTCACCTCTGTCTCGCATCAAATCCTCGCTGAGTTCGTAACTCAGAAAGACTTCTAAACGCCAATTGTGTTGCTGCTAAGCTATTTTCTTCTCAGTTTTAGTCGAAGTCATGAATTTTGCACAGGAATGTTTTCTATTTATCTCCCTGGATATTATTCCTTCCCTTGGATTCGACTACGCTCGCACTACCTAACGCCAATTAGAATTCAGCCGCAGGTCACGCGTCGCCGTTGCTACAAATTCCCAAACGCTGTCCTGCGATAACGACGTCTAAGAGATTCCCATGGGGTTTATCTCTAGAATATCTCTGCGCTAGGCGTCACCGCAAAGTGCTTTTGCCCGCGTAAGCTCCAACGACCGTATCTCCACTGGTTGCTAGACGAGTGAGATTCAACCCAGGCTGTACCGAAGAATGATGCCCGCAACTACCGCGGAGCAGTGTCAAAGTGTTGTCGGAAGCATCGTCCATGTGTGCATGGATCTCGTCAAACCGCTTCTACCGCAGCTTCTCCGAACTTCGACCTCGCTCCAACTCCAGCAACTCATTCACACCAATGAGCCCACCTAATTGCATATCCACACGGCAAGGTCAAATCCGAACGATTAACAGCTGCTAATCTGCCTTATCGTCTGGCTGAGTTGTTGATTACTCCGATCAACACGGTATGTCGGTGGAAACTTACGCAATCATCAACTGCTACTCATGAGTGTAATCCATTAGCTTCTCGAGTTTACTATGAAACATGGATCCATTGCAATGAGTGTGTTCTAACTCCACGCAAACACCTGGCACCGACGCCACAAGCTTGAGGACAGCTCAAGTAGACAGCTAGATCCAATCGCAGCAGCAGCAGCTCACAGGAAATTCACATTTTCCATGAAAGAACGCGTAAGAAGTGTCTTTATCCTATTCTCGTCCCTTTTCGCCGAACAGTCATGCAAACAACCGCCATATGTGAGACAAATCATCTCCCCCGAGTCCCCGGGTTGAGATCAATAAATAGTCGACATTCTTCTGGAACCCACCAACGACAACTACGAAAGGACGCAGTGAGACTTGTGATCTACCTGATGTAAAACTCTACTATCTTATTCACTGCAGAAGGTGCTCCTTTCAACTCGTCTTGGCTTCGACCTATAATTCAAAACGCTGTTGAAAGAGCGACATCTTGGTTATTGAGCTGGGGAAGAACCGCCAGATATTGTGAAATCAGCTAAATGTCCAGCTCTACTATTCAAACCTGAACCATTCGAACTAAACCAGACAGTTAATTTTATTTTTATTTTTTTAACAATGGCAATTGAGTCAAAATGGTGGACAATATCCGAGGCAAAACAACCGGGTGTCGGTTGATCGTAGAGAAAGCTCAGGATCTTAGCAGAGTTCTATCTAAAGTTTCATCCCAGCCTGGAACAGAAACTGTTAAAAAAAAAAAAAAAAAAAAAAAAAGAACTCACCATCTCTTGCTTTTTGCACACAAAAGTGCACAGCAATACCTCCACCGACACTCATTGCTCTGCACAATAGAGCATGCATTGATTATTTTTTTTATTTTTTTTTGTTTTTGGTTGACATGGGTCCACTTAGCATGGACGGCGATAATGATCGCATCCAGGATTGTTGTGTTCGGGGCTTCCAGCGTTAACACTCCATCAATCAAAATGGGATCTTTCTCAATCTACTTTTCGTACTGAGCTTCATCAGCAATGCTCAGCAACCAACAAGGGTTTCAATCGTTAGGATAACCAGAAAAATTCTGTCACACTAGAAAAATCACGGCCCCCTCTTACACCTCAACATGTGTGTGGCGGGGGTAAACACGGTTCAGACGTGACTTGAGTGACGGTCCATCACCGCCGCGAATGAATGCTGGCAGTGACTATAGAAGAATCTCCTTCCGATTTCTGACTGAAGATCGATTCTACGAGGTGCAGAACTCGAAGAATGTATCAATGCTTCGTGATTATACATACACATGACTCACATGGTACCTAAAAGCTCTCTTTTCAGCTGAGATGATGGCCTCAAACTTGCAACCCTGCAATCCAAAATGGGAATTTGATCTTGTGCTCATGCAGGTTTTGTGGTAGACTCGACGCTTTGCGAAGCCATGGAAGGTATGAACAAACTGGGTTATTGTTAGATATCCTCAATTCATAAAGACGTGTTGTGAAGCTGCTGTGAGATTCTGATACTTCAGAGAAAATTGTGTGATTCTTAAGATTTTTAATGGAAACTGTGGCAGGTGTTGAGGGGAGCTTCATCGGGAGGGAATAGTGGAGGCTAATTTTCTCAGGTGCATCCACTTGTCAGGAAAATTATCAGCTAAATACACAAAAAGCACACCACATTGTTTTTACTTAAATTTTTATTACCTTTTGGTATGTGTTTTATTTTATTTTACGAGGTTTCTTTTCTTTGAAAATACGAAGACATCGAATGAATTTGTCAATGATTGCACCTGTTTTTGATTCTCTGAAAAAATTAATTCCCAGTTATTTCAATAAACAAATACATCAAAATCGCCCAATCGTGTTTATGCTTGCATGGTTTTTTAGAAAAGTTCTACAAGAATTGGATTTTCACACTAATGAAACTTCTTCAACCAAGTTGGATTCTCCAAGTATTTTAGGATTATAGCCTTTTGTAAAATTCATCTCCTTCGATAGATTTTAGAGATATAATTCATTAAGAGAGAATCTTAAAATATGATATATCTCTTTATATAGGAGATCCAAACCCTAGGAAAATAGATGAATTTTATTTTGTAGATTCATCTTTTGTTAAAGTATCCAACATATCAACAGGATCTAAGCTTTAGAAAACTTTATAATGTGTTCGAACTCTTTTTGTCCTCTTTTTCTATATAATTTAAGAAATTTGAGCCAACAAGTCATACTTTGTGACGTCGTTTTACATAAACCCTTCTATTTTACTATAGGGCAAAGATTTTGATTAAAATTTATTTTATTTCTTTATGTTTATATTATTTATATATAAGTTATAATAATAGATCATATATCATAGAATCTTAAATATTATATATCATATATCTTATGTATATTAATTATTATTCCTATTTTAGCAAACAACAATTTTTTTCTATTTTAATAATCTAAGGATCTCAATTAAATTCTTCAATCTGATTATTGATAATTTCTTATTAGATAATATTATTAACTTTAATAAAATCTAACATAAGTATTTAAATAATTTTTTTAGAAGATTTTGCTTAATAGATAGTCTTCTTTAATAATAAAATGTTGTCAAAAACATATCTAAGAAATAAAAATAAATAAATAAATAAATAATCAATTGATCTTGGTTTATTGCTTTTAAAAACAAAATTGAATTCTTAGTTGTAAAATTTTAGCAAAGATGTTGTATGTTGTATTAAGCATTGTAATTGGTCTACAATCCTTCAAGTTTTTATTTTTATTTTTATATTTATGATATGTGAATCAACATATGAGATAACAAGTATTCTTATTTTATAATTAAATAATTATTTATTTTTAAGATATCTAAAATTACTTAATGCTAGTAAAAAATTAAATAATCTAAAACTAAATTAAATTAAATTCCTATATTGTTTACTTAATCCATTCCATTAAAGTTTGAAGCTTTGTTATTAAATATAGTTTTTTTGGACTCTTAAATTATTATTTTCATACTAGACAAAACTTCAAGTTAGAATCTAATGTAATTATTAAATGTTTTGAGATGTGTCAAATAAGTTAACTCAAATACATTAATTTATAAATAATAAATAAATAAGTAAAATGATATATTGGTAAAGTTTAGAAGATAAAAAAAATTATCTTATTTTAGTTATAATATTTACTTAAAATATTTGATCAATTTGGTATTAATGCAAAAATTTATTAGTGAGCTTTTTTTCTTTTTTTTCCTTTTTTTTCCTTTTTTTTTCTTTTTTTTTTTTTTTTTTTTTTCTTTCATTGCTTAAGATGACTCTTTAGAGCAAGATGGTTCAAAGTTCATTTTACAGATACTGTAATTCTTTGTTCTACATTATTTTTGTAGTGAAAGTTAAATAAAACTTCTTGTTGACTTTATAATTTTTATTGCAATATCACATCAGAAGAATCATTTTAAAGCTTGAAATAAGTCATTTGCAATAGATTTATCTATTTTTGTCCCCTACTTAAAAATACTAACTTATCTTTGCTATGCTCTTAATAAAATTGTATAATTTTCATAAATTCATTTTAAAGAATTTTCTCCCATTTAACTCTATTAATACTTGAAAGTTTATGAACAAAAATTTGGATAGTCAAATATGTTACAAAATAATTCTGAAAAAACATTGTTGTTTTAGTTTCATAATCTAAAATATGATTAGTTTTCCTATATATATATATATAGAAAATTAGGTCTATCACAATAGCAAGTGTTGTGTTTTTATTTTTTTAATATTGAAAAATTAATTAAAAGTTGATAATGAAATATTTATAATATCATTTTAATTATATTTTTTTCTACATAAATTATTTTTATTATAATCATAAACCTTCTTTTAGGCCTTTCAACCATAATCTATTTTAGTGCACAAAACCTATCAAATATTATTTCTAGTAGAGTATTCGATTATATTCTAATATTTCTCTTTTTCTCTTTTTATATTAATTTTCACATAAATATGAGTAATACCAAGAGAGCCTATTTAAGTATTATTAAAGATTATCTAGAGAATCTATTATCTAAAAACAAAAAAATATTAGATAAACCAAATATTTAAGAGTGGGACCAAATAGTATACTATGTCTCAATTCTCTTACATTTAATCCACCGAATTTATTGTACTTCAGAGAACAAAATAAATAAATAAAAACAAACAAACACCACTTGCTAATTGAACATATCAAAAATAACTTCTCAATTGCTGTAGCTCTTGAGGATTGTTAACCCCTCTCACATAATAAGACATGGGATCAATTTCCATCACAATTGTGGGAAAAAAGAGATCATGTCAATTACCCACAAACAGTTCTCCGGATTAGGTCAAGAGGCCCACCAGAGGATAGCTACAGTTTGGGTGTCTCGGCCTCTTCGAATTGTCATGGTTCCTCCATTATTCTGAAGTGTTTCGAGGTAACAAATGCAGTTGTTGTGATAATGAAACAGTGATTCTATCGCTGCTCTGGTATTAACTATTACCCATGTTGGCAAAGTGTCTGTTTATATACTATAATTTCAGTAGTTCCGTAAGAACAAGTTTCATCACTTCAGCCACTGCACAAAACTATTTCATAGATAGGATTCAGCTTTATGACTTTTCCAGAATCATTCTAGGCCCATGGTGCATCGTATTCAAGGATTGAATCATATGATGACCGACCCAGACTCTAGATTTGTTTTGGGCTTGTGGCAGTCAAAAGCGACAGTAGAGAAGACTAACCTCGTGGATAGTGATTGACTGACTGATCAGATTTCATAGTGATTTACAAAAACGCGGATCCAAGGATGTGTAATGCAACATAACTGATGACTGAACTGCATAGATGTGTTGCTTCGGAGAGAGTCTCTATCCATCTCCACTGGTGATGTAACAGTTGCATATATTTGTACTGCAAAGAAGTATAGGAAAGGTTCGGGTACAGCTGAAAGTGTCTGAAGCCAACAGTGCATTGGACGATTGTAATTGTTGCAGAGGAGATGGAGACCTTGGGCCATAAAAAGGAATCATACGGATTCTAAGCATGTGCTTTGTCAGTGCTGTCTAAGGAATCATATAATATTGACGTTTCACCCAAAAGTTTGAGAGCTTTGATTATTTGAAGGAATTATTGGGGATAGCGGGGGTTTATCTTCCCTGCGGCGCGATTGAAATTGATATTTCGTTTTAAATAACAGTTATGCTGCACATTTATGGAGCCAGTGCACTGCACAAGTGTAACCATTTAAGGACAAATTTGAAACTCTTTAAATTGCGTAATCTCAAAACGTCTCGTGAGGAGCACATTGCGAACATCAACACAAGGTTACTGAATACGCAGCGCTACATTTGCTGATACCATACTTTTGATGATGAGCATGAGTATCGGGATCATGCATGAATCATGTCTATCTCATGTTAACCAGAGGGTAGTCGGATAGATGGGATCGAATTCACCGACCACAAGCACCTTGGTATTGCAGGGCTTCCAAGCGACACCAATTTGTATCAATAGGGATGCAGCAATGGATCTCGGGCGGTGTCTTTGTAAAGAATGTAACGAGATCTAGTTGTTCCTAAAGCCGCATACCTGCATACGATGTCAACCATTCCATGAATCAGCAAATTACTTCCTTCTTGGGATTAACGCACTCGACAAAGATTGTAAAAAACAAAACATAACATAACAAAAAAATTATTAGATTAAAATTTTCATTTTTTTATTTGGTTCTGCCGAGTCTGACTGGTCGTGAAGCATATGTTAAGACTGGTGAAGGAACTGAATGACCGCAGACAAATAAAGTGTGGAGAAGAAACTTGCCACTGAGGAACGAACGGAGCCATCCAAATGACGTCACCAGCTTGGACAGGGTACCTGCATGTGCCACCACATTAAGGACCGCAAATTCATTGAGTTCAAGACATTTAAGAAGAATCACTATCACCGAACTTCAACACTTTGAGGCTCATATAGTTGGAATACAGCATTCAAAGTCTTAAGAAAAGAACCATTTATCGCCCAGTCGGTAGATTCCGCGGCCCTCCAAGAGTAGCAGGCCGTGTTGGTTGTAATGGACCTCCTAAAGCAGAGAGACATTCACAATGTCATAATTGCATATGACATCTGAGCAACGGTAGACGCTTACCATTCTCGATTTTTAAACCTCACATAGAGATTACTCTCTTGTTCAGAACTTCTCGCGAAAATGATGGGAATTGGAATAGACCCAAGTACAAAAATCAGCGTGATCTACAAGGAGCCGGTACTGATAAGACATCAAAAGTTAGGTCGGAAATACCTTAACATTCAAGTATTCTCCAGGTTGGAAATCCATGACCTGCACAATGAAGTAACGTATTTAAAGTTAATGCAAAGTTTCTTCTCAGCAGTCTACTGAGTATAATTCAAAGAACTTTCACAAGCAACTGGATTTTGTTAGCACTTGAGCGCTGAACTACTACTCAATCACCCACAACTTTCTTCAAATTTGTGTAAATTAACAAGCTGGAGAACATGAGGTGGCGACCACAATCGTACATGTATGTTGAAGTCGTAGGTGGGAGTTGCTGGTAGCAGCTTCCGTAGTTCGAAGACCTGAACATGCAATTTTTGTTTTCCAATCAACTCAAGCAACCCTCACAGGAAAATAGAAAGTCAGAGACAACGAAAGGCCTAAGGATAGTCGACGAAAGGGCATCTCTTAGTAAAATGCTATTAGCATTTACACCGAACGAATTTTTTATATTAAGAACTGGAAGGGCTTGCCTCGCCAGGTGTTTCCAAGTTGGGTAGCTGGTTGGTCCGACCGGTGAACAGCTGAGGTGCAGCATCCCCTCCTACTGCGTATCTGAAGGCATACCACAAAGAAGACTCAATCAAAGAAATTGATCTAAAACTTGTCACATCCGTAATTCATGAAGAGAAGATCAATACTCGTCAAAGTGGGGACGTGGTCTCGAGTATTATCAGGTACCTGCGCTCAAATACTACCAGTGTTGCAGAGAAAGTTGAAGAAAGAGTGTGTTTTGCACCGGCGGGGATGTACGCAAATTCATCCACCTATTCTAAGAAACAGATGCTAGTTAGGCAGAAAACAAAGCACTAAGGGAACTCCTAAATTGCACCTTCAATTTTAATTCAATTCGTGTATGATGACTATATCCGCCATTAAGGTAAGAGGAAAGAGTCCAACTTCATTTAATGAAATTCAGAACAGGAATAACCATTAATATAGCGGTGTCGAGAAGCAAGTCTGCAGTCATACTGACTTCTCCTTTCACAACGAACACAAACCTCTCAACACCTGCTGGTGGTTCGGCAGAGGACGAATTACCTGCACACACATTGCTATATGGTCAAACTCGTCCTAGAACAAACTCAAAATGTCAAATAATTTCATTCTAGAATCAGTCAGGGTTTCAGATCTAAAATGAGATGCAGCCAATACGCGTAAAGCTTCCGAGATACCTGCCATAGAAGCAAGATACATCGTAAAATGAGCACCCATTGCAGGGGTGATCAAGTAGGCTGCCAGCGTCTTAACCCTAAAAAAGCACTTAAGACTGTCAGCATTGTATACAAACGAAAAATCTATGCGTCCTCACATTAGTTTATCTAAAACAGACTTTCAAACATACAACCACGTTGTGAATCAGATTGCAAAAGGAAATATTCATATTAGTACTTGTTCTTCATTTCCTCCTAAATATAACACCATATCTTCAAAGATGAAGACCTCGAAAAGAGAAGACCTACCATCCGGGAAGGGGACTGAAGACTTGACTTTCAGGTGTAATGAGAGCATGATCCCGCTCATAGACACTCCTGGTAAATCCTGGCAGGTCTGTTGACATAAAATATGACCAATTAGTATGACCTTCAAATCCCAGATTTTAAACTAATCATCAAAAGTTGCATCTGTAAATCAGCTTCTCAGCAGCAAGTGATGATGTTTTTCGTGAATGGTGTCGACATAGAGAAAATTAGTAAAGTGTTCTGCATGCTGCAGTTAAGCCAAAACAGAGCAATGCGTACCTTGAAGATGAGACGCAGACAGTGTAGGATCCGTCACTTTAGAGTACATGTTGGACGTGTCAGTAGCCGCAGTCCCACACATAGAAGATGCCGATACTGTCGCCAGAGTAAAATGTCAAGAGCATTGCAATCCACAAATGATGGAATTCCATCAACGAGTGCGAATCCGGCATAGAAAGTAATCGACAAGAAGACCTAAAGAAATTATTCAAAGAGCAGAAAGTGCACTAAATCACTTTGCGTTTCTCTTCATAATCACAATTAAGATAAGCAGGGTGCGTAAAGGACGTTACATTAAACACTTCCAATTTAATGCATCATTGATTGTATTGGCTTCAGAGTCAAAGTACTTGTGCAGCAGTTACTAAAACAGTAATGTGGTGCGTCTAGAACCCTACCCACAGGGTCAAATAACAAAAAATATCTAAAAAACAGTATGCTAGACACAAGCATCTTTAGCTTGCAGTGTTGCAAGCTTGAATGTGATAATACACAATTGTGAGTAGCTCGTGACGACGACTTCTGCTCTAAAGCATACAACGGCAAGAGACACATAGTGTCAGAAACACCGAATGGAAAAGAACACAAAACCAAGGCAACAACGAAGAATTCGACTACACAACTCTGGTGAGTGAAAAAATTCTAACAAATGACCAATTCGAACAAAACACGAACCAAAATGCAACGCACCATCTTCGCAGATGGAAGAAGATGAGGAAACCACACGCAGGATGGCACAAAGGACAAGACACTGGAGCGGAAGATGCTTCGCCAGAGCTATCGTCATTGCCGCAAGCTCCTCAGATAGGCACAGCGAGTCGTTGTCCCAACTTAAAAGACCCAAGATGGCAGGACGGGTTTCACTCGGTCAGGCTATGGATGACCTATTGCAGAAGGATTGAACGTTAGAACCACACCCAATGCTTCGGATGCTACCCTACCACACTGTCGACCCTTGTTCCAAGAATCTGGGATAAGCACACGATGATCTCATACCGCCTACTTCTTCATTGTGTGGATGAAAACGGCTTAGACTGTCGCGGGCCCTAACAACACGTGTTTCGGGGGTATACTGATTCAAAAACAACTCCAATCTAATCAGTTGTGGTTTGCCTTTTCTCGTGAATGAAACATAATATTTTTGTTTCTGGACTCTAGAATTCTGTCGTGGTAGAGCTGGAATAGATTAGGTGATCATGCTGTCAATCTCATTATTGGTAATTTTTAAGTCCTTCAGCAATTAACATCTGCTCCTCGGTAATGACTCAACTGTGCTGAGATAGTCAGAGATTATATGCACTTTGATTCCTTCACCTCGTCCTCGTTGATTTTGGACCAGCCGATTTACACTCGGTCAAAGATTACGTCAAAGATAATTGTCAGGTTACTCAGGTTCCAATCTTGTGTTAGCAGAGAATTATAAGCTTGCAGGGACGAGAGACTGAGATAAAGCTAGAACCGAGCTCCAGCACTGGTATTTGCCTCCGTGTTTTGCTAGCAAGAAGAATGAAGATATGGTGGGCCATTTCGGGAGTCTTACTCATCTTCGCGCTCTCGGGGATTTTATCGGGGGTTGATGCGGACTCTGGGTTGTGCGAGAGCACTGACAGTTATGGGGTTTGCAAGGGGGGCGCTGGAGAGAATTTGTTTGTGGATGCAGCCACGTTGCAAGAACAAATTGACGAGCTTTCTGCGTACTCCGACACTCCGGCACCCACGGTGACACGCATCCTGTACACCCCGAACGATGTCGCAGCCCGCAGGTTTGTGCATGTAGCCAAATTCTCACAGAAATTCACCACACTGGGCAATTCTTCATGTTTTTATTAGATTCCACTTCCTTAAGTTTTTTTCTATTATCTGGTGTTATTGTGTAAGCCATCATCAAGATTTGAGGTCCAATGTATCTGAGGCTTCTTGACGGTGACTTGAAACTCCAGTGCTGAGCTTCAATTAACTAACCTGTGGCAGTTGCAATTCTGTAACATAGGCTAGACTGTGCAATTGGAAATCCTGGGGCGGATCTTCCACACGAGAGCAGATGTTAGAAACTCTGCATGTTAACTGTCAAAGCTTTGAACACATTTGATAATTGGTTATTATCTGCAGGTTTGTGAAGAAATTGATGAGCGAAGCAGGCCTATCAGTGCGAGAGGATGCCATCGGCAACATCTTCGGTCGTTGGGAAGGAACCGACCCAACCTTACCTGCAGTGGGATCCGGCTCTCATACGGACGCAATACCTTACGCTGGAAAGTACGATGGAGTGTTGGGAGTGCTGGGTGCCATTCATGCAGTGCAAGCTCTGCAGAGGGTAAAGTTTCAGCCCAAGAGATCCATTGATGTCATCATGTTCACTTCCGAGGAGCCCACCCGGTTTGGCTTCGGGTGCCTTGGAAGCAGAGCCATGGCCAAAAGTGGCAAGATCTTCGACATTCTTAGAGAAGCCAAGGATTCGAACAACGTCACATTCGCGGACGCCGCGAAAGAAGCAGGATATACCGACGTGGAGGAGAAGCTTAAGTCGTCTGGACTGGAGAAAGGAGCCTACTCAGCTTTTGTGGAGCTTCACATCGAACAAGGCCCAATGCTTGAAAAGGAAGGCAAGAGCATGGATTTCCGTTATCGCCAGCTGCTGATGATGCTTTTGAGATACGTATCAACAAATTCACAAGAGAATTGCAGTTTCAAAACTGACTGTGTATTTCTCTGCATTCAGGGATTCCTATTGGTGTGGTGACCGCAATCGCTGCGCCAGCGAGCTTGAAGGTAGGATTCAAGGGCGATGGAGGCCACGCCGGGGCTCTGCTTATGCGGTACAGGTAGTCCTCCCATTCTTACCTGTTGATTTTGCACGAGCATTGATACTACCGAATTCGGTATATAAAATGATGTTCCTCAAGCCTGAGGTTTTTGAGCAATCTTCTGCGATGCACAGGAACGATGCTGGGCTTGCAGGAGCGGAGCTGGCCCTCGCAGTTGAGGAGCACGTTCTGGCGTCCGGATCAGTGGACACAGTAGGCACTACAGGAGTTCTGGAGATTCATCCAGGAGCAGTTAACAGCGTCCCACGAGAGGCGCGCCTGGAGATTGACATTCGAGACATCGATGAAGCCCGACGAGACAAAGTGGTGGAGGGAATTCGAGCATCAGCAGAAGCAATCGCGAAGAAACGGAACGTTATCCTCACAAATTTTGATATTGTTAACCAGGACCCTCCTGCGCTGAGTGGAGGGCAAATTGTGGAAGCTGCAGAACAAGCTGCGGATTCACTAGGGCTTGAATACAAGTTGATGATTAGTAGAGCTTATCACGACTCTCTGTTCATGGCGAGAATCTCACCCATGGGCATGATCTTCATCCCATGCTACAAGGGCTACAGCCACCGCCCTGATGAGTTCTCCTCCGTGGAAGATATGGCCAAGGGTGTGCAAGTCTTGGCCCTAACCTTGTTGCAACTTTCATCTACTTGATTCTGCCTTCTTACAGGTTGCTCGAGTAACGCGACAAACCTTAAGAGCAAACGAGGTAGAGACTAGAGAAGTTGGAGCAAATGAATCGTCAAAAATTGTACACTTGTGTCCAAGCAATGAAGTTATGGTTATCATGGTTATCACAAACTTGACAGAATCATCTGTTTCCTAGCTACTTCAACATTCAACAGTGCGTTGGAGGTCTTCATGTCCTGATGTAAGGAAAGCTCCTAATCAACATCTGGAAGACCTACCACCCAAACCATGCACAAATCCTTAAAAACTGTGATTCAAACAGGTGACATCTCTTCAATTACCGAGGCTGCTGGTCAACCTAATTACGAATCGTCGTCAACCTTCAATTTCAGCTCAGTTCTTTGGCCATCCATACTAGAGGTGATCTGTAGACTCGTCTCCCAATCCAATTCCACTCCAATTCTCTCACCATGAAATCCCAGAATAGGTCTCCGTTCGGCACGCATCCAAGAGCGACCACTGAAACAGGAAATTCAGCTCAGGCTTCTGAACAGCACGATTTGCTTTATAATCCTTGCTACGAAGATGGAAGACATATGGGAATCCTACCACAGAATCGGCCATTCCAAAAAAAAATCTGTGACGTCGGACCTGGTAGTGTTGGATGTTGACCAACACCGCCGCCTCGGTTCGCGAAACCCTGACGCGGCATCCAAGACACAGACCAGACCCGATCCGACCCGGTGGATCGGACCGGCTCCCAACGACCCGTCTGGGTGGGAATCTCCACTGCAAGGCGCACATGGCATCAGAAAAGGTCAGGGTCGCAAGATGCTGGGTAGTCGCATGGGACCCGGCCCGTCGTCAGACTAGATGCTCTTGCACTGGTACTATAATGCATTACGGGGGGGGGGGGGGGGGAACGTCATCAACTCTTCTGTCAATTGGGTCTCAATTATCAAGACACTTATGTGGGGGGAATAGGAATGATTCAGCTTAGTTCACTTATTGTGAAGTTGGGTTGGTTTAATGTTCTTGAAGAATGAAACCATCATTAGGGATAGAGGATTATTAGAACTATTTTAATGGATACTGGAGAGGATCATGCTGCCCCCACAAGCCTCCTTTCATTAAAACTATCCTAAAAAATAAATCTAAATGTATATATACATATTCCTTGAAGATGTTCTACCCCTGTATGGAGACAATGTATGGTGCCCTCTCATTGGTTTATTGGATTCTCTAAGAACATGTCTTCAACTTATTCTTTCACCTCCATGCATCTTTTATTGACACCGATTTTTAATTATTAATTGTTTTTTGAATAGTATACTTAGAAGTGGTCAATCTATGGATTTGACAAATGATAATAATAATAATAATAATAATAATAACAATAAATAAAATCCATGAATTATCTAGATAATTAATTGTTTCCTTTCTTAAAAAGAGGTTGAAATTTTCAAACATTTTCTAGAATTCATGTTCATCCTATATGCAACATTTTTTGAATATATGTTTTAAACTTCATACTCTTTTACTAACATTCTTGGAGAGAGAAAATATATTATTTATAAACATAATAATAATAATAATAAATTAAAAATTTTAAAGACCAATTTTTTTTAAGCATTAAGTTGAAGTGTAGAATGGGTAAATTTATTTTTGATAAATTTCTATATTAATTTAAATAAATAAATTTTTATATTATCAATTAATATATAGGTAGACTTGTATTTTAAGCTTAAAACAAACTATATGATAATATTATAAAGACACCATATTGTAGTAGCAATAGAATTACTTGATATATATATATATATAAACCAAAAAAAAAAAAAGATCAAAAGATCAAAAGCATAAGGGGGTGGATCCCCTTATTATTAAAATTTACAAGGAATCATAAAATTTTTATCCAACACTTCATTTTATTATATTATGATTTTAATTTTTTAAAACAAAAATAAGTATTCGTAAGCTTAGAAGGTGGAATTTTTTTCATCTAATAATTCTACCTACAACCAATATTAATATTATGTATATTTAATTAATATTATTTCAAGCTTCTGAAAAATAATTATATTTTTTAAAGAAACTTTTCACATTTTTTTTTAGGATTTTATACCAACTAGCTTTATTGTAATAAAAAATGAAGTTTAAAATGATTAATATTATATATATTATCATAACCTTTATAAATAGATATATACTATTATAAACCTTGTTTGGTGTATAAACATTTGCTGCTCCAAAAAAACTTATAGAACCATCATTAAATATTATTTAAAATACTATGTAAATCAAGAGATATACTATAGATGGAATTAAATGTTTAATTAAATATTTAAGAAGAGTGCATTTCTTTTTTCTTGCACCATCTTCTAAGCGATTATATCATAGTGTTGCATCTAAAATGTAGCATTTTCTTTCTAATCATTAAATATGTCTTAACTCTTGTATTATTATACTATTAGATTTATGTTTTTTAAAACATTAAATTTTACATAATAGTTGGAGAGATCAAATATACTTACATAGTTAATAAATTATTTCTAAGTTATTTAATCCTTGGCTATATATATATATATATATATATATATGTAAGTTAATTTAATATATATAGCTAATATAATATATATACTATATATATATATGTAAGTTAATTTATTATAAGAAAAATCTAAGAAGAATCAAAAGAAATTTGGCCCTTCTTTAAATAAATCCAAATTATTCTTAAAAAATAGGTTTTTTAGTAATCAAATATTATTGATAAATTTATTTTTACTAATCATTATATAAAGGATCTTTAATATACTACATTGGATGTGTACAATATTGAATCTTAGAATAGAATTGACTTGTCATTTCATAAGATCTTATGTGGTTTTAGTAAGTATAAGAGTTTACAACATATTGTTTGACAATGCTTCTAAGAAAATGATTGAACAAGATAGGTACTTTATTCATTAACCATTGGCTCAAGAATAATGTGTACAAGATATTCTATTGTGTGTAGAATCTACATATCTTTATTATTGGTTAGTAGAAATTTTTGCAATGAATTTTCATTGCTTAAAGGACAATAACTAAATATGGTTTGTTAGATGTTTGTTATTATTATTTTGAAAAGAAGTGTAGCTAATGTCAATGGCATGATATTGAATTATCAAGTCTTTTTTTTATAATTTTTTTTAGTTGGCTTTTCTATATGCAAGTTTCATATTATTTTATTTTTATATCTTTATTATTATTTTTTATGTAACTTGTATCTTTTATAAAAACACAAGAAAGATTGAGTTAATTGTTGTTTAAATAATTTTAAAATTAATTAATAGATTCATAATAGTTGTAACATTTGGAAAGCAAGAAATTGATTATTGTTGCACAAGAAGTGTTTTTGGTTGAAATTTATTTAAAATATAGTGATTTTATCTTTGGTTTTTTTTAAAATAGAAAAAATAAGATTCTTTAAAAGTTACTCTAAATTAATGTATTTTATCCAAGATTTTTAGACTATTGAACCTTCTTTACTTTATGTATACTTGATTGGTTCTATAAATATTACGTTAGAAAGATAAGGTTATTAAGAATAATCACTTCTTTTTTTCTTGTAAATTATATATAATAATTTTATTTTATTTGTGTATGTGTGTTGTTATTTTCATTTTGTTGTTAAGTTTGGCTAGAGATCTTATTGAAGCCATCAAAATTCAACCATGTTAATTTTTCTAAGATAATTTTTCCAAGATATTCTTTTTGAGATTAAGTATATATAATAATTGGTTTTATTCTTGAATATGTTGGACTCATATAAAATTTGGGCAAGCCTTTATTCAATTATTTGTTTCTTATTGATATTGAAAATAGTTTGGTAAAACATTTATAAAATTATTAATTTATTTTTATTAGGTTAAAATTTTAATTTATTTTTTTTACTAATTTTTCAAATTAAGTACAATGTAAAACCAAAGTTATTTTTTGCTTTAATTTTGATTATCTTCTAAAAATATTATTATAAAGCTACTTAATAAATTTTTATTTATAGTTCTAAATCCTTTAAGAAGATTCTTTTAACTAATCTATATCAAATTTTTTTTAATAAAAGTCTTACGAAGATACAAGATTCAAAATATATATTTTTTTCTTAAAATATATTTATTTATATCACTTTTCAATAGATTCAAGAGCCTTAGTTTTTTTTTTTCCTTTAATAGTTATTTTTTTAATTAGAAAAAAACCTCAAATAAACATCTAACTTAATGGAAAATAAAAGATCTATTTTATTTTAAAATATTATAATTAAAAAATATAATAATAAATAATTTTATTCTAATTAAAATATAAAAAATTATATATTTTTAAATATTTTATTTTATATTTATTAATATAGACATCTATTAAAACTAAAAACTAAAAATACCAAAGTAATACTTTTTTCAACTCTGTAAATAGTTAAGATAAAGACTATAATCCTTACTTACATTATATAATAGATAGGTATATTAATTATTATATTTACTAAGCTAAGTAGAATTAAGTAGAATTAAATATAATTAGAATAAATTATTTATTATTCATTGAATAGCTTTCTAGAAGTTTGGTAGTCTTTACACATATTTTTAAGTAATTAATAAATTAACAACTTGGCAAATAAGTTGGCTACATGTCACACATTTGGCCTCTTACATTATGAATTATTTATGTGGTGTACATATTAAAAACTCACTTTACAAATTAGATATATGTCTTGCAAGTTTAATATGTGTCATATAATCTATAAGACATTGCCACATAAATCTTTAATAAATAATATATATAAAGACAAGAGTTATGCCTTTTTTAGTCTTATCAATGTCTTTTTGTATTCCATCTTGGTTCAAGACTTCTTTTTCTTTTATTATTTTGCAACAATCATTTTAGTTTTAATTATCTATTTTCTCTCTTTTGGTAGTATAAGAATGTATAGTTATTTTTAAAATTTTATTATGGTTTAAGTTTTTAACAATTTGATAAGAATCATAATTTTTTATATATTTTTTAATTTAAAAGTGAAAAGATTATTCTACTTTTTTTTTTGTATTTTAAAGATTGCATATTATCTCCCTTTAAACTTATATTTTTTTTGTTTTCTTATAATAATATTGTTTTTGAAAATAATAGACTTTCTCTCTTTGTAGAAAT